TTTCCCCGTTACCTGCAGAAGGAAGCCATGCACGCAACGCAGCCCCGCTCTCTTTAACTCCAGGCGACTTTCTTCCGCTTTCCTCCGTGGTTAAACGATCAGCACTTCACAAATTGCTGTACCCATAAGGAGCAGTACAAATGCCGCAGTTTTTGCGTGGCTGTGTCTTTAGTTGAAAGCCCAGTGGCGATCTGCTCATCTCTCATCGAAATAATATGCTACAAAGGGGCTTCTGTTTCACAAAATACATCAGAGACGACAGACCTCTGTTTTTCTGCTGCCTCGTTTCACTTCCAGAAACATACACACGCTCGCTCACTCTCGCTCTACCATCCACACACACACATGCACACGCCACACCCCCCTCTCTCTCTCTTAAAGGGACAGCAATCTCATCTCACTCTGCATGACCCTAATATCATAACATGTGTGTTCTGGAGAATCACAGAACGGACGATCGTCCTTATTATTATGCCGTTTAAGCCAATTATTTAAATGTTGTTGTTAAATTCGGCATCATGTAAGTTGCGCTGACAAGTCCACACACTGCTTCCCCGCAGCGAGGCTCCCCCCGCCCTCCTGTTGACAGTTCACGAGCGTCGAGCCCCCCCTAATTGTGCATTTTATGAGAAAAGCATGACATTTCTAGCATAGTTAGTGCATACCATAAGGTATATTTTCAGATGTGGAGGGAAGTCAGATTTGACCTGTGAGGACCGTGAGAGGTCAAATCCAAGATGGCCGCCAGTCTCTTGGGTCAAATGTTCAAACACGCTTAATTTTGGAATCAAACATTGTAGAAAAACATTTAAGGTGTCATATCCAACTAAATTATGGATGCCCAATCATTTGGTGATACTTTTGAGGTTGCCAGAATTCAAGAAAATGCATTTAGGTGAAGATAAAGGTAGAAATTGACCAAAAATAAGCTGTCAATCAGTTGAAATTTGCAAAATTGCAAATTATTTATCGTGTGTGTGTGTGTGTGTGTGTGTGTGTGTGTGTGTGTGTGTGTGTGTGTGTGTGTGTGTGTGTGTGTGATATCAACTTATAATCAGCTAGATACATGACATCAATGTAACAGTCAAATCCAAGATGGCCGCCAGTCCTCTGTGTTTAATGTCCACGTTTTTTTAAATGTTGGAACCAAACGATGTAGAAAATAATGTGTCATTTCCACCTAAATTGGGGATGCCCATTCATCTGATGATACTTTTGAGATCGCCAGAATTAAAGACAATTAATTTAGATCAAGGACAAGGTCAAATTACATTAAAAACTTTTGGATTCGACCTATGCAATATAGTGAAATGTGCTTCAATTTTGAAACTATAGGGATAATAATACAAAATAATAGACCCATGGTGCTAGTCTATTTTAATTATGATAATTATACAGATCTAAATCTAATGGCGCGTTTCCACTACAGCGCGGAGCACGGTTTAAGAGGGCTGTGACGTCAGCGGCCCGTTTTTGGTTGCGTTTCCACTTGGCCTAGTACCGGCCAGCGGGTCCTAATTCACAGTTTTTCTGGCCTCATAAAATCGTGGGTCTAGGGCCAGAGACAACGAGGCTGAGTCGGGCTGAGTATGATAAACTAGAGAGAGAATCGCTGGCAAGGGGGCTACAACTACAACAAGATGGACATATTTGACCGTGATTTAATTGTAATACACGTTTCAAAATGATGCCGAAGTAACAACATACTGATACCGGTTAGTAAAAACCATGAATTAATGCTTTGACAAGTCTGCAGACAGACGGCAGGCGAAAAACCTTTTAAAATGCATGTTTTCTAAATGGAGATTGGCTAAGCTAACGCAGTATATGCTCCGACCGTCCACACTCACAACAACGGCCTATACAGACATAAATAAAGCAGCGACTGTATTCGCCATGACACAGGCAGTCTGTGGTTTGTACTTGTTTAACTTTTGTCTAGTTTCTGAACAGATATGAGGAGCTGTGAGCTCTGAGTGCTAACAGCTAACGGCTGTGTTGTTTTTCTGGGGTTTTCATTGAAGATGACGTCACGGCTCCGCCTACACTGCGTTACTATAGATACTACCCCAGTTCCTAAACTGTAATGGAAATGCGCCATAAAGTGAGCCAGTCCTAACGAGGCCTAGCCATACCGAGCGAGGCCGAGCGAGGCCGTGTAGTGGAAATGCGCCATAACAGTCTCCAGAACAGAAACATAGTGCAGTGCACTTCAGTGCAGCTTTGGCACACTTGCATCGTCCAGTGCACCCTTTCTGGCAGCGACAGTGGATCAATTCATGGCACGATTTTGATGCTTCAGGTAGAATGGTCCAAAGTGGCTGCCACCCAGTTGTTTCCTCTGTCCAGCCCCAGTCAGACGGCTCTGGCATCTTTGGATCCAGGACCAATGCCTGGTTCCAACAGTTGGCCTGGTAGCAAGTGCGCTTGATGTGCTGCTTCAGTGCTGCCTGGGTTGGAGGAATGTTCTCTAGAGATCTAGACTTCTGTGTGAAGAGCTGTTTCCTGGCATCATTCACCTCCATGCTCTCACTGGTGAGTGGGGCCAACCGCTGCCCACCCAATCAACCACTGGATGTTCATTTACAAATTTCAACTGATTGACAGCTTATTTTTTGGTAAATGTCTACCTTGTCCTTGTCCAATTCAGTTGGAAATGACACCTTAAATTATTTTCTACATCGTTTGGTTCCAAAATTATAAAAGACGTGGACACAGCGGACTGGCGGCCATCTTGGATTTGACTGTTACGGGCCGTCTCCACGGCAGCGTTAAAAAATCTTGAAACGCTTCTGCCCATTCACTTTGAATGGGGTGACGTCACTTTTTTTCGCTTTCGCCGAAATGCATTGTGGGCAGGCGAGCGGAGATTCTCAGGATTTTCAAGATCCAAAGTTGAACAATGTTCAACTTTTGAAGCTGAGGAGGAAGCGTCAGCCAATCAAATCCCGTGTACGCAAATCTGACAGTTCAAGCTCTAGCCAATCAAACGGCGTGTATGCTGGGAGAGACATACCGCAGATCATTTCCTCATATTCCAAAAAATGGAGGAGAAATTAGCGGTAGCGAATCAATCACCCGGTGCTTTATGACCAGACCTACCGGGATATAAACCGGAGGAGCCAGGCATGGAGGGAGGTGGCAGAGACAGTGGTATGTTTTCGCCTGTTTTGGGGAGTTTATATCCAGTTTACTTCGGGCTTTTTGGCTTCGTATGTCGCGGGCGGGAGATTCATGTGATTGGTTGATCGCAAAAAAATCCCCAAGCTTCAGATACGCCCACCTCCAAGATTTTTTTAACGCTGCCGTGGAGACGGCCCGTTACTTTGATGTCATTTATCTAGCTGATGATAAGTTGATATCATTGGTAAGGCGGGACCATATGCTACATATAATTATCCAGGATTTATTTACCTGTATGGCTCAAGAAAACATAGAACTCTACAGAGAATGCATCTATGCAATCTATAGTTGAAGCATGGATATACACAATACATAACTGCGCCACATCTGCCACCAACACACACACACACACGATAAATAATTTGCAATTTTGCAAATTTCAACTGATTGACAGCTTATTTTTGGTCAATTTCTACCTTTATCTTCACCTAAATGCATTTTCGTGAATTCTGGCGATCCCAAAAGTATCACCAAATGATTGGGCATCCCTAATTGAGTTGGATATGACACCTTAAATGTTTTTCTACAATGTTTGGTTCCAAAATTAAGCGTGTTTGAACATTTGACCCGAGAGACTGCCGGCCATCTTGGATTTGACCTCTCACGGTCCTCACAGGTCAAATCTGACTTCCCTCCACATCTGAAAATAAACCTTATGGTATGCACTAACTATGCTAGAAATGTCATGCTTTTCTCATAAAATGCACAATTGTTGTGCTTATCCGCTGTACTATTAGGATATATATAAATAAATACTGGTCAGATATCCACCAGATCTTTTAGTGATTTTTGTCTCTCTTGGAGAAATTAAATTGCAACATCAAATACAAAAGTTAATCTGAAACAAATTTAAATACCATAATGAAATTAATCCACAAATTAGGATTGTTATTATAACTTAAATGTTATACCTGGAAACACAAATACACAACAGAACATAATACATTTAATATGCTCGTCTCTTGTCCTGGGTGGCAGATTACGTCACTTCCGCCGCTGCTGCACTAGCTAACGCTACATTAGCAAAACAAACGCTTTTTTTTTTGTTGCAAAAGGTGCAGCGGGCTTCAAACACGTTCCCCTCAACTGGTTTCAACCAAGCACTAAATTCGATGTTTTCCAACCAAATATGGTTGAACTTACACTTCCCCATATTTGTTTGTAAATAGATTCGAAGATACCTGAGTTTCTGACTGCCGCTAGCTTGGTTGCTAGGTTACTAGCTGGGTGTTCTCCGATAAGGGGCCGGGGGAAACAAAGTTAGTGATTACTGGTTCCATGTTGATTTAATTCAATACAAATTGTTGGGGGGAACTGAAAGGCTCTTACCGTACTGGTTACTTTGCAGCCCGGACATTTCCCCCAAAACACATTTAGACGCGATCGCAACAAAGAAGTACCTTTCAAATCCCATCATTTTTAAGACCTTCTAAATCATATTTTGGTCATATTTAAGACCTTTTTAAGGCCTTAAATTCAGATGATCAAATGTAAGACTTTTTAAGACCCCTGGCTTGCCCTTTTTTCCTATATATAATATAAATATATATATATAATATATATACCCATTACAGCTGCGTGGTGTTATCTCAGATGTTCCTGAACAGAGCAGAATGCTCTTGACCAGCAATTAATTTCATTATTCAGCCAGTCATTTGTTTCAATTTAAGCATGCAGCTCATTGCCTGCATACCACCCTTTGTAATAAAGATAAGATGGTCAGTAAAAGTACAGTTCTGATTAAAATGTTAATGGAAAAGTTTGACGCAATGGAATCTCAATGAATGATTTGTGTGTCCCCCTCTCACTCTCAACAGTTACTAGAGATGCTTCTCTTTTGTTTCCTGCTCTATCTGTACAAGATGAGGAATGTGAAGCACATCGTCATTGTGATGCTGCTGGTAGCTCTGCTAGGTAAGAACCCATGTCAGCTGTCTGATTGAGAGCAGAGGTTAGGGATTAAACATATTGAGGAAGTCATTGGTTGCTCCGTTGCCTGGCTACTAAAACTGGACTCATGCTCTGTAATCATCTCTGTTAAAGGGATAGTTTGTATAGTTTAAAGGAAGGGAGCACAAGCAAAGAAGCTCAGTGATGTTCTGTTGTAAACTGCGGCAGCAGCAAAACATATTTTAGTCAATGAAAAAGGCCCACATAAAAAAATCTATATCACTAGTATCATCGCTAAATTTAGAATATTTTCACCGATTCACCCTGCTTTCTGAAGGCGAACCGAAGTTGTTATCCCTGTTCTATTCACCAGATTGACAAATACAACAATTTTAACTCTAACTATACAAGTGCCGTCATCCGAGAAATTATAAAAATATTGTTATTGTAGTGTACACTTCAATATATATATATTTTTTTTTAAGGTGGGCCTTGCTTTGAGTTGGATAAAATATGTTTTGCTGCTGTGATAATAAAGTGATCCATTGTTCGGCAGCTTCTCTGACAGTTATCTCAGTCAAAGCGGTGTCAGGGATGATCGCAGAGTCAATAACAGGCCAGCTGCAGCTCATCTACCCCATCTTCTACGTCATGGGTGTCATCATGATTGTCTCCTGTGCCTTCCAGATCAAGTAAGTCCTGGTTTTGTCTCTCTTCCTCTGTGAACCTTCTTTTTCTCTTTCAGCCACTATTTTGTTGTTGAAATCCCTGATGTTTGTCACAGGCTGGATGCAATTTAGACATATTAGTTCCAGCAGAATCTGAGGGAAATAATTATATTTGAGATGGTGATATTGGCATCTAAAGTGATATGACGGATAAATACACACACTTGTTTCTATAACAAATGTCTTTATTTATCTCCCAAACTTATTTTTGTCCTCTTTCTACAGATTTCTCAATCAGGCAATGAAAATGTTTGATGCCACAGAGGTGGTTCCTATCAACTTTGTGTTTTTCACCACAAGTGCCATTGTTGCAGGTATATCAACAGTTTCACCCATTTAATGAAAGCGTGTATTTTTCCAATTTAAGTGAAAGACAAGCTCGTTTTTGTCAACAAATCCTATGAGATTCAAAAACTAACAAAGAATCAGTACAATACTGGTATTCTGCATTCTGTAACGTATCCTGTGACTCAGAGCTTCATTGTTGTTCAAACAGGTGATATGTTCCTTTATAGCCAGTGTAGTTTATTTTGCGTTAAGTTCATGTATTGTTCTGCCACAAATACGAGCAACATACATTTCTATTATATATATATATAATATTTTCCCCAACAAATAAAACAAAGTCAAGATGATGATTTATACCTGTAGATGTGAATCACTTACTCATTTTTTGGCAAAGGCCCCGCAGTATTTATAGCATGAGCAGTGTCAGGTCACTTCTATTATCTAATCGATGATGGTGTTCTTTGTTCTGTATATACCAAGACAACAACTTTCAAAAGCATTTTCATCTTGAAGGAACACCCTACACTTTATGATTTAAAGCAATTGTTAAAATTGACCTTGCAATCATAAACTAATTACCATGTTTGGTATTCTTCAAGTGGAAAAATTGCCCAACTGCTGTTGCCATGAGATCATTTCCAGTGAAGCCTCAGTGTCATAGCTAAATACAGTGCATCCGGAAAGTATTCATACCCCTTAACTTTGTTCACATTTTGTTATGTTACAGCCTTATTTCTAAATGGATTAAATTCATTTTTGTTCTCAATAACCCACACACAATACCCCATAATGACAAAGCGAAAACGTATTTAAAGAATTTTTTGCAAACGTGTTAAAAATAATTAAATTAAATATCACATGTACATAAGTATTCACACCCTTTGCTTTGACACTGAAAATTGAGCTCAAGTGCATCCCGTTTCCACTGATCATCCTTGAAATGTTTCTATAACTTGATTGGAGTCACGATAACAAAGGAGCTTGAGACAATCTGCAAAGAAGAATGTGAGAAACTGCCCAAAGATAGGTGTGCCAAGCTTGGAGCATCATACTCAAGAAGACTTGAGGCTGTAATAGCTGCCAAATGTGCTTCAACAAAGTATTGAGTAAAGGGTGTGAATACTTATGTGTATGTGATATTTGAGTGTTTTATTTTTAAGTCATTTACAAAAAATATTTTTCCACTTGGTCATTATGGGGTATTGTGTCTCGAATGTTGAGGAAAAACTCAAATCCATTTTTGAAATATGGCTGTAACATAAAAAATGTGGAAAAGGTGAAGGGGTATGAATACTTTCCGGATGCACTTTATATTCCACTACCAGGCCAAATCATCTACAGTAAACATAGGTTTTTATGTCAGGCTCTAAAAATATAAGACATATTTATATATATTTGTTATAAGTCCTGATCTGATGTGCTATAATCATAAATGAGGACATCCATCATAGGGCATGCAGGGATTTAAGCTACTCTCACCTTTTATTATAATCTCCTGCTGTTTTTGCTGTTGGTATTAGTTGCTCTCTCCACCTACACACAACACCCACAATTGACTGCATTGAACAAGAAATTGCTGATGCATTATTTCTGGCAGCATTACAACATCTCGGGGTGTGTTGAGTGAGCTCAGGAAGATTGAAGATACACTTTTGTTCCAACTATCACAGATAGAAACAATCACTCAGAGAAAAAAGAAAAAGTTCTGTGTTCACAACTTTAAGAACTAAACTCCTCAGTTAATAATCAAACACATTCCTCCCATGCGTGTGATGTGTGCTCAGGATTTTCAGGTCTATTTACACAAAGCACTTGAGTCTACATCGTTTCTGTGTTTGTGTTTTTCACTTTGCAGGGATAGTATTTTACGAGGAATTTGAAGAATTGGCTTTACTAAACATTTTTATGTTTCTTCTTGGGTAAGTGTTCAATAACACACAAGTTGTTGCCACCTATTCAAATGTGGTATTTGTTGTAAGATTGTATCTCTAAAAATTATCTTCCAGTTGTCTTCTGTCTTTCCTTGGAGTTTTCCTGATCGCCCGAAACAGGCCAAAAATAAAGCTACAAAATCCCAATTGTATCTCAATGGATAAGATTCCTCGTAAGTTTCTGATACATTTTTAATCAGCTCTCTTCAAATGATGGTATGTTACATACCTACCTATTTGCATTGAGCATGGTGCATTGATTAGCACGCAGCAACCCTGGATCTATCCGACTGCAGCAGGGTCTAATGTGTGTGCTGTCCACCTTCACAGGGAGAAGTCACACAGACAGAGTGCAGCCCGAGGCGCAGACATACGGATCGCTGGCTGCCAAACTCATGTGCAACAGAGCTGGCCAATCAGACGATGCATAGGACCAGGACCATCTGTTGGGAGTGTAATGTTGGTGGATTTGTGTGTGAATTATTTTTCCTGTGAACTTGAAAGATATCTTTCTAAAATTAAATGGTAGGCATGAATTCAAACAATAGCTGAGTGGCATATTGATGGCAACATTGGTCTTTAAAAATTGCCTCTTTAAATATCAGAGCCATCTCTTGAGTTAACAGTTATACCAGCAGTTAACAGTAGCTGAAGAGTATTATCTCATTGTGGTGAATCAGAGTGCAAATTCCCTTCTAGCAAGTACATTGTATTTATAAAATAAATCTCCAGCAGGCTAGTGTGACAAATGGCTTCTAATATAGCACACATGTATATATTGAAATCAATTGTATAAATCTGCCTATTTAGGATCTGTTGTCAATAAACAAGGACAAAATCTGATGGTTCAATAGTGTGTCCATTTCATAACATAAGTGAAATTAGGAACACTACTGCCCTCTAATGGCTGGGGAACTTAAATGACCAGGCAACTATGCATGCGTCATGATGATCTGGGGTGAAGTGAATTCAGTCAATAAAAGGACAAACATAAGAAGTTCAGTATTAGTTATATTAATTTAAGTTGCTTACACATAGCTAGCAGGTGTGTGGGAAAACTTGAGCATGCAAGACTCTGAAACCTGTTTCCAAGAAGTAGAAACAGAACATTTCAGACTGCATTCCTAACTGCATTCCTAATTGCTAAACTTTAGTGTTGCCAAGCAACAAAACTCTTATCTGCCACCTACACATTATGGGATGAGTGGGAAACCAGTGCTCATGCAATGCAACTATAAAAATATTGCATGATCATAGCATTTACTTCTGATAACATAATGCATATTTCAATTATTGAGTGTGCCGTAACACTGTATGTTCTTACAAAGTGGGAATGTGGACAGTAATTACCCCAAAATAACAATGTCTGTTATGTGCAGTATGGATATTTTATTAGCTTATATTCCAACTAAACCTTTTTAACCAAGGCTTCTCAAATAGAAAGGGACTCTTCCAAAATTCAAACCCATGCATTTGGCGCAAAAAAAGATGTATGTACACACATACCATCAACATAAATACTCCTGGGATCATTAGCATGAATATAGAAGGTGTAAAATAAGCCTTACTTTGATTCATTTGGAAACCTGTTGCTAAAAGAAAACACTTTTTTTAACCTGTGTGGTGCGTCCCTCAGACAGGCATTGGGTGATGAATAATCATGCAAATTAATGACATATCTTGAGTTGTTCCAATACCCAAGAATTCAGATGGGAAGTACAGTTCTGCATGGGCCCAGATGTTTCTATCAGACCTCTATGTTGATTTTTGCAAAGCGGTAGTGCAGAGATGTGGGGTTGCGCAGCAGCAACACTCCTCTGTGTTCCATCGGCTGGTTGAAGAGGGTTTTGAGAAGAGCAGTAACGCTGACGAAACCCAGGGCCTCCCCGCAGCCTGCAGACAGGGAGAAGTCGCCCTGGGTGACCCAGCCCAGAGTCACCCGGGAGCAGTTAGAGGTGATGCTCGGCAGAGGGTCTGGCCACAGCCCGAGAATGATGTCAGAGGATGATGAATTGAGGACGACAGATGTGGTGGGGTTTGGTTCAGTGGAAAAGACTGACTCTTTGCCCTGAGTGTTATCAGAACACCAAGATGATTCAGCAGCTTTCTTGGGCTCCTTTTTTCTGCGTCGAACACTGCTTTTAAAGTGGTCTCTGTGCGGGGGCTCCTGGGGGCCACTGCTGCCACGCTTTTTCTTCAGAAGATTCAGGTCTTCTGCTGTTGGCACACACACCATGGCATGGAGCTCTGGTTTGCCCTTGCACAGTACTGAAAGACGCACCCACACCAGACTCATCCTATGTGCAGTGAGAAACACCGTCATGGCTGATCTGTCCAGAGGTCGCAGCTCCCCAACACGGCATGACTTTTGACCTTTAGATGTCGTGGGTCTGCACCAACCAGAGAGCAGCCTCAGTAACTTCCTGTTCCTAAGAAGCATAAAAAACAATCAATATCCATTTGTAAGAAGTGATTCATATTCAAAAAGAAACATTGCTATGGCCCCGTAAAGCTCCCTAAAGGATTATTAATATATATATTAATTATAATACTGAAAACAAAAAGGCAACCAATGGACAGTGAAAAGCAATCCAATGTATTTCTCATATAGTCCTTCATTACTCAAGACTGGTGTGATGGTTTCATGAGGATAAATGCAATTTAAGGCTGGATGTACTTTGGGTATTCTCATCAGGGACATTATGATGAAAGCGACGTACACTGGAGAAGCACCATGCATCAAGCCTGCCAAAATCTGTGCCGGGGTCTCTTAATCAAAAATAGGTACAAAGTAATGACTTCACACCCAAAAACAGTGCACATTTCTGCTCAAGGGACCTATAAAAGTCAACAGCATTAATATTATAAGAAGTGTTATTTAGATTAGCAGGATGTTAAACAGCTTGGTGTAGAACTGCAGTGGGTGTGTGTTGAGTCAATACTGACTTGAGTTCTTGTTCACAATAGGGGAGAGGATTAAAAAAAATAGTAAATCTTCAGTGAATGTCACAAACATGAATAAAGGGAAGGTAAAGACAAACACTTACCTAAGTACAATGACTCGGCTCAGAGGCTTTGTCTCAGCGATTTCTCCATATGATGTCATCTCCTCCATCACTGTGTCAGCCTCTGTTGTGCTCTGGCACTCTCTTCTCCTCTCTTCGTCTCCTTCCCTCGTGATAAGCTCCCACTCCTCGGACAGCTGTTGCCACGGGCAACAGAACGGAGCCAGACAGCCATGTTTAATATAATTGGTTCTTTTGGCGGGTGGACGCCTACAGGAGAGGTCAGAAGGTTAAACCCCTGTCAAACTGCCATGAGTGCTTCACGGCCACAGAAGTATTGAAAAAGAAGCACGCCGTCTGGGAAATGTGCATAATGGGAATTTACTGGGGTCAGAGCTTTGGAGTGCTTCTCTCTATCAAACTTTAATCCAATGTCATGCTCTCCATTTATTCAGAGTGTAGGCAAGGGAATGTTATCTTAACCTAGCAGATGATTGTATAGTCATAGTGTAACTACTTCAAGGTATATTTAGTTCAAGCTCTAGTCTAATTATCACCTTAGTCTAATTATCACCTTACTTTATGATTTGTTAAAGGAAACATTTCCCATTTACAGTGTAAAGGTCCTAAGCTCAAGTTTGCCTCTGCAATGGATGATTAAACTACATTTTAGAAACAGTTCCATCAGTAAAAATCAGCCTTCTATACAATACAAAATACATGTAAGCTTTGGCAGCACAAGATTTTCCCGCTGAATTCCGTAAAAATACAAATACTCAAACATACAATATTCATGTTTTTGGTTCCTTCCCTGCTCAGTTATAAGCTGACCTTTTGAACTTTGCCAAGAGCTCTGCCTCCTGTTCCTCCTGAAAACGTACGCCTGCAGGGCAGTCTGGGTAATCGTGGGGAAAGTGTGGGGCTCCTTTATTCTGAGAGTGTTTCAGACTCATATTCAGCCCTCCAATGCGAACTCCTCTGTACACCTAGCAGATAGAAAAAGAAGGCATAAAAGAATAAACACTGGATTATAGGGAAATTGACAAATTATGCAAACCTGAGGGCCTTTTAAATTTACATTTCAACGTACATTTAACATTTCACAGTGCTTGTCCAGCCAAATTACGATTGCCTCAAAACATGGACAAGACAAATGTTTAAAACCATTAGAACAGAGTTGAAAGTCTTAAAGGTTCCATGTCATGGCCATTTTCCTCCCTGTGAGCCCACTGTGCTCTGATGAGTCTACCACCGTTACAGAGGAACATCAGTGATTATGTGTTACAATAGCGTTAGCAACCAGAAAATGACACCAGTAAGGACAAACAGATGAGAATGCTGCGTGGGGTCTGGGTGCTGTGGTGGCGGGCTGCTGCGAGGAGCGGACAGTGTGAGCTGGGTTCATTTCCTGCTAGCTGCGTGGGATCTGCGAGACATCGCGAATGGACGCGGGAAGGGGACTGGAGGTCGTGGAGGCGACGTAACTCCAGTAAAGGAAGCAGCTAGTGGGCATGCGCGGGTGAGAGTGATAAACCGCGCTATGCGGGTACAGGGACATTATGGCCGGCGTAGCAGGGTTAGGGAACACATAACGCAGAGTGTAAAAACTCCGCTTGATGCATTTCACTGTTTGGGTGAATGCATCATGGCGGAGCGCGCGCTCCCACGAGAGCGCCCCGTGGTGCGTTCAAGGACCTCAGTCTGCCCTTTCTGTGTCGACCCCCCATGGGCAGAGCTTCCCTTCGCGGGGAGTTTTGCGGCGGGACGGGTCACCAGAGAGTACCACAGCTTTATCACTGGGGCCCCACAGCTGATTGCACATCCCCTAACGCAGTGTTATGGGGAATGGAAGCGCAGCTGTGTGTTAACGGAGTGGATGGACAGGACGCTGAGACTGGGCATTATTCCCTGTACTCCCTGGTTCCCAAGAAGACGGGCGAATTCAGGCCCATTCTGGATCTTCGCAGCCTGAATCTCCACATTGCACGCAGAAAATTCCAGATGTTAACTATAAAACAGTTACTGGGACTGGTGCAGCCAGGCGATTGGTTCACAACCATCTGAAGGATGCTTACTTTCATGTCGAGATTGCTCCGAAACACAGAAAGTATTTGCGTTTTGCCTTCCAGGGTGTAGTCTACGAGTACAACAGACTACCGTTCGGCTACTCCCTGTCCCCACACACGTTCAGCAAATGTGTGGCCACAGCGCTCCAACCACTGCGCGCCCGTGGCATGAGAGTTTTCTATTATCTGGACGACCTCATAGTCATGGCCAGGTCCAGGGAACGGGCAATGTTTTACACAGCCCAATTGATCCTACACCTAACCAAGTTGGGCTTTGCGATCAATTGGAACAAGAGCACCCCCATACCTCACCAACAGGCGTTGTATTTAGGAGTGGTGCTCGATGCAGGCAGGCTACGCGCCACCCTGTCAGAGAGCAGACAGGCATCCTTGCTTCGGGCAGTTTGCAGACTGCGACAGGGGGCAACAGTGACAGCTTTGACTATCATGCAGACTCTGGGTCTCATGGCAGCTGCTCATGTTGTGGTCCCACTCGGGTTACTGCATATGCGCCGCCTGCAGAGGTGGTTCTCCAGCCTGCGTTTAGATCCCAAGAGGCACAAACGGCATCTGGTGACCATCCCCCCCTCAGTGGAGGGCAACCTCCGGTTCTGGGGGTCCCCGGATCACCTCCGGAGGGGGTCTCCACTGGGACAGGTAACCTCCTACATCAGTGTTCACGGACGCATCCGGAACAGGATGGGGAGGGACCTGCCTGGGGAGAGCTATAGGTGGGCGCTGGTCTCTAACAGAAACACGGCACAGCAACCTC